GATGACTTTATTTCCCATTTGAACCAAATTTCCACCCACCGATTAGGTAAGCATTGGTGGGCGGAGGTCACAATTGCCTGGAGGTCCCCCACTATAAGTGGGCAAACGGAAACCCTAACTATAACTCTGTGATGCACGGATAATGTTCCCTTCTAACACCTTGCCACATTCAAATCCAGAATTAGAGGAAAGATGTAAAGGCGGGGTGGGTAGATACATTTACTATGCTTTCTTGGTTTCATTTGAATTTAAAATTACATGCGCGTTGAGTCTGATCTTTGTAACAACTGCATGAAGCCATAAGTTGGCTTCTATACCCAGGCCTGGGTTGACTCAGTTTAAATTCTGTCCTGGGACTTAGGATGTGATTAGCTTTTTCAACATGAAGGCAGTGCCTACTCTTTGCGGCAGCAAAAACCAAACCCAGAGGAGCAAAATGACCGCTGCTTTTCAACTCCGTAAGCAAAACGACATGAAAAAGACGGAGCGAACCAGCTTCATCCATTAATAATACATTTGTTCCCCCCAAGAAATGTTTTCCTCATTAAATTATATGTGTGAATGCCTGAAGAACAAAACAAATGTTTATGGAAATTCAGCTAATAGTTTCTTCCACTTTTTCTTTTTACGCTCTGGACACTATCAATGAAAACGGTACTTGCTAAATCGTGGGAGTTGGGGGCAATACAGCTCCGACTACTAGGGAGAGAGCTGCAGCATAGTCACGGAATGAGCCAAGGCAGTAAATCTTACACAAATGTAAATATAATGCAAAGGAGCTACTGGGCAGTATCCTACCATCAATGAGTGGAAGTTAGGATTGCCAGGTGCCTGGTGCTGGTGGGAGGGCTCCTGCTGATGGGCCCAGGCCTACCCTCCCACCGTCACTCTCCAGAATTGTGTGTGTGGGGGGGAAGGACTGGAGGCAGAAGTGACATCATGTCAAGCACCATGGAGTTTTCTGGGATGGCCAGAGTGCTGTCTGACAGACTTATGTTCCATCTGGGTTTTGGCTGGACTTGATGTCACCCATCTCACAATGTCATTTCCATCTCCAGACACACCCCTAAAGCTCCAAGAACGCCAGCCAGCCACCTGGTGTCCCTAACTGGGAACATCTGTGACATCACTAATATATGACACGATTCCCCCTCCACACTGAGCACAAGCACATTTTGTGATGTGATTTTATAGAGTTTTTAATCTTAAGTATCATATATCAAATAATGTTAACAATTCAATATGACTTATGAATCCCTTTTAAAAGTACCAACGGGCTATCTCCTCTTTCTCGACTATCTACCATTTAATGAACCTTTTTACTGTTGTTTTGTTTCTTTTTTCTCCTTTTAATTCTTCAGAGACTAAACACACCTCCTCTGCAGCAGAGGCACACATAACTGTCTTTCAAGAAAGGGAAGTGGCAAGACTGCCCTCCAAGGGGAAATGACACTATTTGGATTGGTATTCACGTTGCAAGTACTAAGAGTAAAATCCAGGGGCATTAGTAGGCTTGCTAAGTCCCCCCGGGGGGCGGGGAAACCCCCGCCCCAGAGGCCCGTTCCCCGCCGGCGGCAGATTAGGCCCCGGGGGGAACCCCACCCCGACGTGCAGGTCACCCGGAAGTGACACGACCACACCGGGCTCGCTGGGGGCGGGGCCACGGTCATCCGAGGGAAAACTCTATGGCCCTGCCCTCTATGGCGCGCACGCCAGCCAGGAGTCCCCCGCTGTGGCTCAAAAAGCACTTGGCAAGCCTATTAGTTAGCCCCAAAGTAATTTTGTGTAACAAAAGAGAAATCCTGTCCTGGAGCCAGAACTTTGTGAAACCTCTCCAGCTTCTCCATTAAGACACACAGGTGGGTCTACATGACCAGGGGTGTGGCAAAAGGCTGTACACACTGTAAGGAAAACAAATGAATGGCTAAACAGCTCTGTCTGTCCCCGGTGTGAGGTTTGAAAAGGAGTGGCTTGGAGAAAAGGAAAGGAGAACATACTTGATTTGATACATGGGGATGGAACTTGAAATGGAGATGGGACGTGCATATTCACAAATAAAGAAGAGTAATTTTGCTTTGAAAACTATGGTCAGAGGTTCCAGTTTATAAAAGGTAAATTATACTTAACGCATATTTAGCAGGGCATGGCATTGTACTGTCTTATGCGGCAAAAGCAAAAAATCACTAGCAGTCAATTCTAAGCAGAGTCGCATCCTTCTAAGTGCTGTTATCTCTGTGTAGGTACTTGCTTCGCTGAGAAGCTACCCTATACAAGTGATGCTTAGTATCTCTTGGAAACCAGCCTCTAGTTTTACCAAATAAGAATACCAAGAAATGGCACCAAGCCTTGCATTGTGCTCTCTTGCATTGTGGCTTGCACATCTGGTACAATTATGTCCTGTGAATGACAATGCCATTCATGTTGTTCAAAGACAACACAGCGATGGCCATATTTTTTTCAGCGTGTCTTTCATCAGGATGGTCACAATCAGTTCTGAACGGTTTACAAGAGCGGCACAACATGGATGAGCATTATCTTTCTTGGAAATTCAGTGCACCCAGTAGCGCTTTGCAGGCGCTTCGGTGCAAACATGTGAAACTCTTGCTCAAGTAGACTTTCCCATTCACTTCAATGAGGCAGGCAGCTCTGCAAAGTGAAAAGGTAGGGTTGCCAACTCCTGGCTTGGAAATTCCTGGAGATATGGGGGTGGAGCCTGGGAATGGAAGCATCTGGAAAGAGGGAGGGAACTCAGCGGGGATGCTGTGCCACAGACCCCACCCTCCAAGCAGCCATCTTCTCCAGGGAAACTGATCTCCAGGAAATCTCCAGGCCCCACCTGGAGATTGGCAAACCTAGATGCAGATCTAGCATTTCCCTTTACAATGGAAGTAAACACACAAGACCTGGATGGCAGGAGAGCAATGTGCCTACAACTGGCCAATTGCTACAAAGCAGCAGAACAAGCCATTCTCTCGCTTTATTATTATGGACAAAAGTTTTCATTGGGAGCATTCATTTCACAGAAGCAATACTGGCTTTTATTTATTCATGTGGCTTGCTATGTATGTTCTGGGCTCTACCAGGGCTGCCAAGTCCCCCCAGGGGGAGGAAACCCCCCCGCCCCAGAGGCCCGTTCCCCGACGCCGGGGAATCGGGCCCCGGGGGGAACCCCACCCCAGCGTGCATGTCACAGGGAAGTGACGTTATGATGCCGGGCACGCTGGGGGCAGGGCCACGGCCATACAAGGGAAAACTCTATGGTTTTCCGTTGTATGGTCGTGACCCCACCCCCAGCGTGCTCAGCGTCATGATGTCACTTCCCTGTGACGTGCATGCGGCGCGCGCCGGGATCCGCACAGGAGTCCCCCGCCGGCAAGGTAAGTGCCACTTGGCAACCCTAGGCTCTACAGAAATGTTGTTGAGTGTCCATTCATTTGCTGATCTCAGAACCCGACTTCTGAATGCATGCTGTACACTCCGGTGCTATGATCCTCCTGTCTTTCAATAAATCCCCACATCCCCCACCTCTTCAGGGAAAATTACCACAGTATGTTAGGGGAAATCTTATCAACAAAAGGTGGTCAGAATTAATTAATGGCTATCACTTTACATCCATCATGCCAGCTGTCAGGGCTCTTTTTGTAGAAAAAGCCCAGCAGGAACTCATTAGTATAATAGGCCACACCCAACAGCAGGAACTCATTAGCATATTAGTCCACACCCCTGACAGCACAGCTCATTACCACATTAGGCCACACCCCCATGTTACCAGAAGTGTGGTTATCCAGCCACACCCACCTTTTGCTTGTTATTCTGTTTACCTTGTTTGTTGTCCAAACCCAGGGCTTTTTTGTAGCAGGAACTCCTTTGCATGTTAGGCCACACACACCTACGGTAGCTAGTCCTAATGAGTTCCTGCTGTTGGGTGTGGCCTATTATGCTAATGAGTTCCTGCTGGGCGTGGCCAACTCAGGAGCCAGCCGGAACTCCGTTTCTGTGCGCTCCTGCCCCAAAATAGCCCTGCCAGCTGTCAAAGAACTCTGAAGCTAATTTTTAAAATGGCCTCCTTCTAGGTAGCTGGAAATCCTTCTTTCTTTTTTTCACGTCAACGCCTTTTTTTCTCCCCCACAAAAGCTAAACTTTCCTTTGTTCTTATTTTTGTTTACTCTCTTTCCTTTTTTTATCCATTATAATTGTTTTCATTTTCTAATATTACTTTTACCACATTGAGAGATGGTAAAAAGAATATCGCCGAAGCTCAAATGGACAAGACAGAACAGGGTGTGTGTGGGGTGGGGGGTGAGCAGAATTTTGTCAATGTTAACAGACCCCATGCAGGGAAGAGGAGAAAAAAAAAAAGAGAGAGGAAAGTTTTATTTTGAAAATCCAATGGGCCGTTCCGTTTCCAGGAAACTTCAGAGGAGAGCTGGATCTCTTCTAGGCCACAAATGGGGAAGTTAAAGCATTCAAAATAAAATGTTGTATTGACACAAGTCCATACAGCATCAATGCGGACCTGGGATGACGATGCATTAGCAAGCAAAAGATTATGATGTCACCACAAACGTTTTTTTCAAAATATATATATCAAAATTTGTAAAGCATTTAGCCAAAAAGAAAAAGAAAAAAGATTTAAAAGGAAAAATGGGCCATTTTTTAAAGCGTAATCAGTTAGAAAAAGTTTACAAGTTTGTGATCATGTTATAGGTATATGTAAACTGGTGTTAACAAATGTAAGGGTTCGGTACGAAGATCTGCTTGAAATCATTTTTCATACGTCTGGCTTTTCCTTTCCTTGCTGTTTCCCTAGTTTACTGCAGTCATGATGACACGTACCTGCCAAATGCAACCTGTTGGGGTTTTTTTGGAGGGGGGTTTGCTTCTGTCATTGCATTCCGGCCATATATTATTTGCTTGATAGAAAAGGTTTGGGATAAGGCAGGGGGGGGATGGAAAGAGAAATATTTCGATGAAAGCTGCAGCAAATGGAGTAAGGATACAGTCCCTTCCTGGAAAGAGGATTTTGTGGCGCACCATTTCTCCCATAATGCATCCTACTGACCATATATCCACTAGAACAGCAGAGACAGGGAAATGAAGAGAGAAGGGGAGGGAAGGCAAAGTTAACTAAGACATTTTGGCTCCTAAAAGGAGGGGGAAAAGAGCAGGTTGATCAGAGAAAGCAGTTTTATGCACCTTCCATTGAACATTTAACACACACACAAAATCCTCCCAAAGACATCATAAAGTTACCGCAAGGTCCATAATACTAGAAGAGTTCAACTTTGTCAGATTATTTTACTTATTAAAGAGTTTTAAGGCTCAAACTTGGGAGGAGGGGGAGGTCGTGGTTGTAAACTAATCATTCAAAGTTGCATCTAGTATATGCTAACAGCATCCAGGGCATTACATTTAGAGGGTTTCTTGCTGCCCATGGGTTGTGAAATCTGTGAGAAACACAACTCTTAGGGCCATGCAGTTGCACTCATTGCCACTCTCAAATTCTCCTGGCATGTCTTCTTCTTGCATTACTTCCTCTGCAAGCCAAGAGTATTCAGTCCACACCAGTTTCCACTGCAGAATGCTGTACTGGTGGACCAGCCACCTGAGGAGTGATATCACAGATATCCTTCACATGCACCTACTGCAGGAACCATTTCCCCATGGCATGTTGCCAGTCTACTGCAGTACACGTAGGAATGTCGCAGCCCATGCACAAGGAGGCCTACATGGTAAGTCTTTTTAAAGCAACAGTTGTCTTCTCGGCTGCTGTGACCTTGGGTCAGTCACAAGCTCTGGCACAGCTGTCCTTGAAAAAGAGCAGTTTGTGTCAGAGTTCTCTCAGCCCCGCCCACCTCACAGGGTGTCTGTTGTGGGGAGGGGAAGGGAAAGGAGTTTGTAAGCCGCTCTGAGACTCCAAGTGAAGGGCGGGGTATAAATCCAATCTCTTCTTCTTCTTCTTCTTTGAATAGGGATGCCTGACCCCTGGTAAGGGCGGGGGTCCCCTGCCCATCTCCCTGCCACTGATCAGCTGACTGGTAGGGAGAATTACCCCCAAAACAAGGGAGGAATACCCAGGGGTCATTTCATAGAACAAGAGGTGCAGGAGCTCATTAGCATAACTCATTAGCATAACTTATTTGCATATGTCAGAAGGCAACACCCACCGCTCAGGCTCCACTGGACTTTTTTGGATGGCTAGCTATGGGGGGGGGAAACGTGCAGATCTGTCCTCGCAGAGGAGGGAGAGCTTGTACCTCAATAAAACTTGGTCTTAAAGGTGCCACTAGACTGTTTTGAACCTTTTTTTTGGGCGGGGGGGGGGGCTCTGCAACTTACATGGCTGCTTCTTGCTCTGACTGAGAGCTGCTGGGAGCAGGGGGCGGGGCTTGTTGCATGTGCCTGCCCCCTGGGCTCTTTACTGCCGGAGCTCCGCTCCTGTGCAGGAAATGACCCCTGGGAATACCCAACATTTCAGCGATGTGCCAAGTGACTTCAATGTGACCCGGAAGTTACATTGGCACATTGGGAATGTCGGGGCAACACTCTGTTTTTTGGGCAAAAACTCTATGGTAGAAGCTAATTCTACTATAGAGTTTTTGCCCAAAAACCAGAGCATTGCCCTGATGTCCCCGATGTGCCTACATCACTTCCGGGTCACATCTTTAGTCATATGGGCATGTGGCTGAAACGTGCAATGAAACTCCCAGCTCCCAGTAAGCTCACCCCCCCATCCCCCACCGGCTTCCTGGAGGGCCCTGGGAACATTATCTCTGGGTGACAAATAATTGGGAAAGATCCATGCAATCAGCCCTGCTCATGAAATTCTGGTATTCATACACACCACAGCCGCAAAGGTAACCTGTTTCCACACAGTTGCAGGACTGTGTGTAACAACATTTCTTAGGGCCAAACTAGATGACGTGTTGAGTCAGGGTTCCAGTGCTGGAGAAAACAGTACAGGAGGGAGGGTAAAAGCCCCCCCTCCCCGCTCCTGAGCCAAATTGGTCTTGGGAATGTTAGTTCCCCCAATATCATGTATGACTGAAAATGTCAAATGTATCATTGAGTTTTGGCCTGAATTCTATATTGTTCATAATTTAAAGTATTATTCCACATATGCCTAGATTATTGATAAAGCACTGCAGCAAAAACATGCAGGTGACTCTAAGATGGCTTACAAAACATTGAAAAGAAAGAGGAAGCTACACCCCCCAGAAAAATTTAGTAAGTTTTTTTTAAAATGCTCAAGTTTTTGAAAACAATCTTTGACAGTACAAAAATCTGTGACTGAAAGAGAGCAAAATGAAAACCACTTCGCAATGTTTTAAAAATCTAGGGTTGTCCCCCCCCCACTGATGTAATGCAATAATTTAAAAGCATCCAGTTCAGCAATCCCTTACTCACAGCATGCCCAGAATGCTAATCTTGCCTGCTCTGTAACTCTCAGAGTTCCTACCGTACTAAAGGCTTGGCCCCTGTGTCTAAGCAGTAGCCAAAATCAGTAGCACTGTAGCTACCTAGTATGTTGCCTCCATACAATCTACAGTAGCAGCAAATGCACAGGGCTTAATTGGCGCTGGAAAGAGGCAAACACCACAGAACTTCATCTGTCCTGGCTATTCTTTTGCATTAACACACAAAAGTTTGAGCACTCTGGGGGCAGAAGGTTGCATTTCCCATCAATAACACGCCCACACAGGAATTTGTGTATAACATATGGCTATGCATGTGTAATTTTTTATTTCTTTATTTATTAGATTACCCCGCCCAACCACAAGAAAATGGGCTCAGGGCGGGTATAATGAATGGGCATCTATACCACCACATACACATAAGTGTCTAGCCTGCAAATTGTTAGGCAAGATCTGGCCTTTGGACTGCTCCGGCATAAAGAGTCTTACCAACTGCAGCTCTCCACTCCAATCAGCAAATCAGTTAAACTGGAGAACTTGACCTAGAATTCCATAAATGAAAGGCCAGTTTAGACTGGGCCCTCAATGGGAAATGTCTTCAGAAACCACAGGGATGCACCGTTATGTGGAAGTACTGCAATCTGGAGCACAACCTTTTGAAACCATGATGTCTTGGAAGCAATTTGTGAGACGGAGGTCAGTCCCATCATTCAGCCTGAGCTCACACAGATTGCTACCAGAAAGTGGTGGCTATAAAAGGGAGTGTACTGAGTCAGGCACAGCTGCATCCCCAGAGATATTTAGGCCTCTTACTGTTGAAGTAGTAGCAAGTGTCCCAGCTGATCACAGGACTGCCCAGATTATTTTACTTTAGGGTTGCCAGGGCCCCGGTCCAGGCAGGGTTTCCCCTGCTTTTGTGGGGCCCTTTCTGCCAGTGGCCAGCTGGCTGGTGGGGGGAAACCCCGCCCACAAATGCCCCGAATGTGACATAATGACATCACCCAGAAGTGACGTCATCATATCGCCAACATCAATGGTGACACTCTAGTTTTTGGGCAAAACTCTATGGTAAAATTGGGCTCAAACCATAGAGTTTTGCCCAAAAACTAGAGTGTCACCCCAATGTCAGCAATGTGATGATGTCACTTTCAGATGATGTCATCGTGGTGTGTGTGCCAGAAGATCCCAGGACAGACCCTGGAGCCCCCTACTGGCAACCAGGTAGTACCTGGCAACCCTATTCAACTTGCATATTGTGATCTCTTGTTCGGCAAACCCCTTTACTCTGTCGCCTTATGCGGCGATGCAGGTTTGTGCTGTACTGCAAAACATTAGTTGTTGCACAGAAAACTGCAGAGGTGAACAAATTAAGACAACTTATTTGTGACAAAATGGCAGGTGCCAAGGGAGAAGGCACAATCATTGCCAGCCTGAGATGACCAGCCCCATGGACCAGAGTGAAATCATCCCATATCCCAGCATTACGGCTTGACTGGTTTGGAGCCCATGCATGAAAATTCTGGATATTCAGTAACATTTAACCTTGGCTATGACCGCAACATGGGCCAGCATATATCTTATCACTTTCGGAATACTTCGGTTTTTAAGGAACTTTTACAAGAGCTTCAATAAATTTCAGATCTCTAAAAATAATACTTGCAAAAAAAAAGAAACATCCAGGGCTTCAGGGTACAGGAAAACTCTATTAAAATCATCTCTTATTTTGCAAAATCTAGGCCAAGTCATGTAACGCCGGAGCGGTGCAATTTTTGGCTTCCTGTGGCTATGTGCCACGGAGCTGTACTTACACTGGAAGTCCCAAGCACAGCATGGCCCTAAACTGCCTTGCACCAGGGAAATGCTCTGCTGACATGGAACTTCCGCAGGATCCACTCAGCTACATTTGGATTATGTTGTTATTCAAACATTATCAGAGCAGCAGCCAGAGATGCTAGGCCACAACCCCAGGACCTGTATTGAAACTTTAAAATCCTCAGTGGTTAGGATGAGCCTGGCAACCAGTGGGAGGGCTGGAGTGGGGACAGGGGTGGGGTCATGTGATAGTGCCAATGTCATCACGTCACTTCTGGGTACAATTCGGAAGTGATAATGCGTACCTCTAGGAAAGGCCAGTAACTCTTTGTTAAAGCCATAGGATTTCCAGCAATTCCTAGAGCTACCCACAGTCCCTTCTGGGTTGTACCCAGAAGTGACATACTGGCACAGAGGCTGGTGGCAGTTTTTTTGTTTTATTATTTTAAAATTTTTCCTCCTGCTGCTGCTCGGAGTGGCAGCAGGCACGGAGGGGCAGCAGACAATAGAGATTATCAGCAGAAAGCCTCCTGCCATAGCGGGAGCTCTGGAGTCCTACTGGTGGAAAATGAGACAGCCATGGATTCTCCTGCGCATTCCACATCTGGTCCTGTTCCCTGCCCCCTCCACCTTCTGTAATGCGCAGGACTTCCCAAGAATTGCACAAGAAACGGTGGAAAACCTGAATAACGGGATCAGGGAGGGGGAATGTGAATGGCTGCAGCAGCCATTATCTTCAACTGGGCCAGGAAATGTAAAGGTACTTGCACATTTTCCAGGTTGCTATCTGGCGCCATGGCATCCCACTGTGGGCCACTGGTGACTTCACCACTCCACTAAACGCA